TTACACATATCCCTTTGGTGAACATCATTTGCATGGGGATTTGCGATGATGTCCACCAACTGTAGGGCAGTATTTCTTCATTCAAATTCATACCTCTCTCTGGGATCGCAACAACAGGAACCTCGCCTGGAGATCCTCTCGCCGTCCCGAAAGAGGGACATGGTCTTGGCATCTGGACCTCGTGCAGTGCTCAAGTCAGCCCCTACCCTCCTTTTACATACCAAGTGGAGGATTCCCTTTACAATGGGACACCCCTCTGCGAAGCGCCCAATTTGTGAATCCTGGATTCCCGTAGTCTAGATTACCATGGAAAAAGAGAGTCAACAAAACAAGGCCATAAGTTTTGCCATTAACACTTGCTTGCAACAATTCCATAACATGAATCCAGGCTTCAACAACCAGGTTCTGCCCCCCCTTTAGACGAGGATGTTGAGGCTGGTAAGCAGACCCCTGCAATTTGCTCCTTTGCTCGGGTGGGTACATGTTCATCCATTCCTCGTTTACGATCTGTCCGCCTAAACCCAGCCAGTTAAACGTCCCAAGCCCAGCCATTCCAACACCAGGGACCCCGACCGTCGTCCGCCAAGTTGATCAGCACCTGAACTCACAAAAACCACCGGACCACCTCTCGCCCGAGTGGCGAACAGTACCTCTTGCCCCAAGAAGCAGTGGATGATGGGCATTCTTTAGTGCGGGTTTAGCTGTGGTTTAAGCTGGGTTTGGTGGGGGTTTAGAGTTGGTTTAGGGTTTCGGGTGGGTTTAGGGTGGGGAAAGCCCTCAGCCCTCCACCCCCACTCCTGTCGGGGGGGTTTGCTCTTCCGCCTGAGCTAAAAGTGTGTGCTTTTGAATGTTTTATTATGTTTGATCCTGAAACCGATTCGTTTGTGATGCGCATCCCAGAGGGCCCTTGCTGAGGTTCAAATTCTCTTAATGGAGCTCCTCAACCCTGCAATAGGACCAGGGTGGCACCTAGCTTGGTGCCAAGCTCATGCCAATTTGCAGGCCAATAAACACAAGGTCTGTAAAAAACCATTCTTGAGATCTTGGAAACATACATGGAACTCAAGACCATCACTGTGTTCATCGTCCAATCCCGTCCAGTGGCCGAAAGGCAGCCCTTGTTGTTCCTAATCAGGAAACAAAACTAACGAAAGTGCCCAAGCAGGATCTAACCAATGGAGGTCAATACACTACACGTGGCAAAGTCGACAAACAAAAAGTGGTGAGCTCAAAGCTTGCTAATTGCTCGATTCGTGCTGAGCTCAGGGCAGCGATGGCGACGCCGCTGACCAGGCGCTGCGTGCACTGCGTCCGCCTGGCAATCTGCTCTTCGCACGCTTCACGAGCCAAGGCACTCTATGGCACTCTGGTCTCGGTGTCTCGGTGCTCTCAATGACTCAAGTACAAGCGAATCGACCCCATGAATGAACCCGTGAGACGCTTGCCTGACCCGTACGGGTGAAACATGCCTTGGCATAGCGCATGTCCAAAGCAATGCGCTTCGGGAATCAAAGCGCAAATGCGCGCAAGTCCTTGCCAGAGACTCGGCCCTTCTTGCCTTCGGTTGTACACGAAGTTCCCCTCAGAGTCGAAGGAGATGCTGTCCTCCGCATCGCCTAACAGCAAAGCCTTAGCTGACTCTGCATTTTCAGATTCACAGCACCTTGCCAGCTCATGCTGTTGCCCCGTTTGACCCCGTTTCCCTTGGCATGTCGCCGGCCGGCCGCTCATCCTTAGTCAAGGCGTGCTCTTGAACCTCCAACTGCCGCTTGCCGTTGAATTGATGTTGGCTCATGCCATCCTCGGCCGTTGAACTTTCTCTGGTCGCGTCCACCATGGGTGCCTCCAAGCGTTCGCAGGGATCAGAAGCCTTCAAGCGCCCGCCTCCAACCAATTTCGAATTCCATTTCCTACAGGACTCCCGCTCCGGCCGGCTCCGTCCAGTCACGACGAACCAAGTGGCAATGTGCCTGCCACTTCCATGACCCGCCCCTTAACCCGCGAACCCAGCTGATTCTGATCAAAGGCCGGGACGGCATTGGAGGTGCCGAAACCGATGCGAAGCAGATTCCGAGGCATCGGAGGCTTCACCTGAGCAATTGTCTCAGGGGCGCACTACTCGTAAAACAAAAAGCCACATAGGCAGGCAGGCTACTTTGCAAGTCAACAGTAGCAATGACTAGAAACAACCATAGCGCGCGTACGCCTGGATACCCCTGGTACTAAACAAGTCGTTGGATGTAACACATTGCCACCAAGAACTCACAAAGTAGCCTGCCTCAAGTCGACAGAATCCCAGAGTGGATAAGCCATGGCTATCCAGTTATCCACCCATGTGAATGACAAGGAGGTTTTGCAAACTGGAAGTGGATAACCAAAGCTTCCAACCTGGGATTCCACGGCGCGCACCGAGGCCAGTGCCTGCGGTTGAACAGAATCTTCTTGTCCTGAAGCAAAAGATGCTTGCCCACACCCCGCAAGTGTTTACCAGGGGTGGATCCAACGCTGTCATCGACAAGAGAACATCACCGCCGTTGTGTCGTCGACATCCTATTTCCTCATGCAATGGACACTATGAACACTATGAGGGACCCGAGCCTCTAAAATGCACGGAGTCTCCTCTTAATACTCCGTGTCTAGCTGACACTGTTCGACATGGACCCTGACAAACGGTCCGGCTGTTAGCAGGAACATTGCCCTGAAGGAGGTTTCTGGCTGGCTGATTTGCAACAAAAGCAGCACAAATAGTTCTTCTGAGGTGCGCACTGGGGCACTCGCACACCCGAACCTCAAACATGTAGCGACCTAGGTGCGCATCTCAGTCGCTCAAACACCCCGCGGAAAGCCTGAGGGGAACAAACAGCATGGCCCCGTTTCAACCAAAAGAAGCCGCGCAAGGAGCACTTCGGCCTCCGCTAAGGCTTGGGGCAAGCCTTAACATGGAGCTCCGGCTCCCAACCTGCAGTCCACCCCGAATTCACTGCCATGACAACCGCTTTACGGGAAATCTGGGGAGCAACTTGGCGGAAATCGCTCAGCAACGGCAAACCTGCGGCAGCCAGGTGAATCCTGTCTCCTGACACACGTGTCAAGTGCAAAAACCTAGCAACCGCATGTGCAGTGGGAGTGAGTCCCGGTGACCTCTCCAATTGCAACAACTATCCCAGCTCCTCACGAGCGCAAAGGGTTTTCAATGCTCACAGCGCAGCTGAAACCCCATGATCCAGCTGTCCACGGTCAGGCACTAGCTCTGAACTTCATGAGGACATGTGAACCCCTGGCGGCTTCGGTCAAAAACCACGGAATCGTCTTCAAACCCGTCCCCGGCAGAAAAAACGTTGGAAGTCCTAAGCCTTTCTCCGAGGTGGCAGCCAGCTTTCACACCCACGTTGGCCCGTGCGCCCGCGAGCAGGTACTGAAGACCGCCCTACAGGGAGCTGCGAAGTCAGCAAGGACAAGATGCAAATGTCCGAATCATGCACGGCACAAGGCCAAGTCCCTATCAACCTCGCCGCACAACACTCGATGACACTTGCGACCTTTGCGAGCGGCACGGACAGCTGCCGAAATGCAATGCCAGAATGCCAAGCCGATTTCGATCCGAACCGCTCGATCTGGGCCGAGCAGGGGAGGCGAATCGATTCGCGGCAGACTCTGCACAACAGCCGAAGCGCCCTCCTGCATTCAATCGGACCGTGCCTCGCTGAGAGACATCAGCAGATCTCCGGTCTGGGCAGTCAAAGCGAGGAAGAGGGTGCGACAAATGCATTACGTGAGCACAAGGCAAGCCACTACCATCTGACATAATGATTCAGGAGCGATGTTGGCAAAACCAAAGACGGTAAGGCAAGTGCATCACATAAGTGAAGGGTAAACAACTAGATCGAAATGCCACTCCGTTAAACCTTATGTCATATGATGCGGTTTCTGCGCCGCCGTCTGCAAATTGTATAGGCAGCTCTTTTTTGTGGTGCATGATTCCCTGGAATTCTATCCATGCATAAAAAGGCCTGCGCATTTGCTCGCAAATCATTCATCCTTCCCTTGTAACCTGCAACTGGGCCATTGGTCCTCTCCTTGGAGGAGCAAGGACGTGGCCGAGAACATGATGTTGCTGATAAACCAAGGAGCTTCTTACTGACTACGTGTATTATCTTAGCCATGCAAGGCGGTTGTGCAACGGTGCACGCGCCCAGATATTGAAAAAGAGTCTCAGCACCAACTGCCGCGCCATTGTGGTCACGACAGAAAACACATGCCACTTAGGCAGGTACACAAAGCAAGCTGAAATTCTACAGTGTGGGGCGGTGGATTGAATGCGTCTTCATCATGCCAACTCGAATCAAGCCATCAGTCCATCAAATGGATGGAATGCATTTCTCGACTGTGTCTGGTTGGTTGCCAGCGAAGGGCAATGCAATTTGCTCGACGGCAAGGCCGGGCCGTTACATAACTGACCCTTGTGAGACTTGGCTTTGAGGAACACCTCCAAAGGGACCGATCTGGGACTGAATGATCCGCACAATCAGATATAACATTTCATAATTCCCATGTTTAATCCTGGTTCAACAACTCATTTTGGCCACTTCCCCTCCTAAGGGGGAGAATCCCCTTCTGGCGATTGACCATGGCAAAAAAAGAAAAACCACACAGCCGGTGTCGCGATCTGAGGTGCCAGCCATGGAGGGCATGAGGTTCAGGGTGGTGTCGGGCACTGGGAACTTTGCCGGCTCGGAGATGCGGGGTCTGGGGTCCTCTGGCCTGCCGATCCGCCCACTCAACACTCACCGCGTGAAACGCAGGCAAGGCCAGAAAGCGCAGCCCCGGGGCTCGCGCGCGAGCCCGCGCCAGGCACGCGATGCGCGTGCTTTTCGGGGCTCAAAACGAAGGTGGGGGATCAAAGGTCGGTTGACGAGATTACTTTTGGTTCTCAGGGGCGGCTGCCAATGGAAACGACAGCTAAAACTGATTTACATGGCCAGATCCAAGGAGGTGCAGACCTTAGTTGATGCAATGACCAAAAAAGCTGAGATGGGGGCGCGTCCACCTCGGTCTCAGGGTAGTTCTGCAAAAATTGCGAGACCTAAGTCTCATCGAAAAGGCTTGGCTGTCAAGGCCAAAGCGAAGGAAAACCTGTTGGTGGTTTGCAGGAACTGGGGTGGTGCACACCCTCAATTCTTGAGAAACGAAGGCACCCTTCATCCCCAAACCACCAACACTCAAAGTCAAGAATGTTCAGATACCTCCAGAGAGAAACCCCCTGAAAACAGCCTCTTCTTTTAAGCGGCTTTTCTGCGAATCTGGGGATAGTCTTCTAGAGTCAGAGGCCAAAACAGGGTTAACTCTCTGTGGGGTACCGAACGCCATGACAACATGGTGTCTCACTGTGCCAAAAGACACGGATGAACTTTGAGAAAACTATTCGGTGTGGATCATGTAAGTGAAAGTTCAGAAAGTTCAACCGGTCGATTTTGGCAAGTGAAATGGCATCACTAAGTTCTCCTCGTCGACATTTTCGTAGACTCCTGACAGCGCTGTCTCAGCATTTGTTAAATCATGGCTGCTGATTGGCTGAAGAACCTGCTAGATTTGCCTTTTTCCCTGAGACAAAACCGGTGCCCCAAATCTCTGTGCGGTCGGTTCTGGGTGATTTCCGTGTGGCACAAATTAAGCGGGCACTGCTTGTCTCACAAACCACTGGGCTGTCAGTTCACTTGCTTGGGACATGAGCTGGCACTTTAAGCTTTTAGGAAGATTGGGGCTGTGGCCCCACTGTATACATCTTCTTTGGTTCATGCTCAGGGAGTGCGAAGCATCCATCGTTCCCAAAGGACGTCCCTCCTTCATTTATCCTGAAATCCCATCCAAACTGAGGGGACAAAACTTGGAGTGTCCCTTTCAAATGCTGCCTTGCGGGTGCATCATCGGGACACGCCAACCCCCTTCCTCAAACTCCAGTGTTGTAGTCCACAATCAGAAGCAGGGAGGCATGCGTCACGAACCAACTCAGGGAAAACACCAATGGAAAGCGGGAATACGGGAGGACTCCCTAGTTCAACTGCCAGCAATGCGTATTCTCCAAGTCTCAGAGCTTTACCATCTACCTCTCGGCCAACGTACATCTCTATCAGACAAATGAACCTGAATACCCCTCATGGGACTACCCAAACCGCGAAGCGCTGGTCTGTGTAGTCCGCTTCCAAGTGCGCTTCTCTCCCTCCCCAAGCCAAAATCGACTACCTGTTTATATTGTCAGCATAGGTGCTGTTTTGGCAAATCGATAGCGCTTACCAATCACTATAACCATACCGGAGCAAGTGGAACCCATCAATATTCAACCAATTTTATTCTCCGCAAATTCCACGATTGCCGACTTCTCACAGCCTTCAAACACCACTTACTCACTTCCTGAAGTGGTCTGCCAAAAAAGTCCGAAAAAGTCTGGGAAGTCGAGGAGTGAGCTCACCGAACCTTCACCTCTCGCCTGCGGCCGTCTGCTGCACCATCCCCGGCTGCACCGCTGCAGGCGGCGGGGGCGGGGGCGGCCTCACCGGTGAGACACTAGAAACTTGGCTACGGGGGGCGTTTTGGCCACCGTTGACCTTTGGATTTCCATAGCAAAAAACGGACACCATGTGTCGTCGTCGTAGCTGACTTTTGAGGAAGGAAACAAAACAAAACAGCAAAACAGGGGCACAACTGGAGGTCTGGTGTAGGTTTAGATGACTCGAATAAAGGGCTGAATACACGTCTGCTGCGGCCCAGGCTTAGGGCACAGAATGATTGTACTCGTTCAGCACAATACACACGCAAACAAACCCAAGAGTTGATTGCAAGCCCCAATGGGTAGACGGATAGTGCTTGCAACATTCTGACAGACTCAACTCGCAAAGCCAAACATACAGTTTAGGAGCGCTCCTCCCCGCGCGCTCTTGAGGGTTACAAAAACACAGACTCACGAGGGTGGCTGCACCTCAGCGCCTGCTTCTGCCCCAACTGTCCCTTACAAACTTTCATCTGCCCCCACCACCGGTGTTTCAGGCCCCAGGCGGAGGCAAGTTGCAGCACATGCTCTGCTGCACCCCTGGAGCAGCAGCCACACCTGCAAAGCGCATGCGTCTCAGCTACACTTTGTAGACATCAAGGCGAGCCACATTGCCAGGAATTATTCCTGGTGGATTGGGCACAAAAAGTCTGAACTTTGTATTTACCAACATACAAATGGTCTTCCCAACAGTTTAAAGTCCAGGAGCTCAGGGAATGAGCTAGTGAATTGGGTACTGGGCGGCTGTTGTCCCTTGCCCCAAAGTTTAGTTTAGCTTGCTCCCCATGGCACGTAGAGATGCCGGTCTGAGACCAGCATCGAACCAAAGCAGAGACCCAGCTGATGGTCAACTTGTTGCCAACAAGTGAATGGCTTAAAGGTCCAACCAAACAGCATAGGGCAGGTGACGAGTCACCCACTGTTGCTAGCGCTTGGGCCGTAGATTCAAGGGCCCCGAGCAGTGGGATGCAAGAGAGTCCAGTGACATAATTCCATGTTTTGAAGACCTTTTCCAAACCAACTAACCCCAGGAAAATGTGAGAAACAAATGGAACCTAATCTGACGCTTCATTTCCGGTCAACATGTCCCAGTCAACATGTCGTGCTTCAGGCAGTTTGACGATCACCCGCAAGTATCATCTTTGTTCTCCGAAGGGTGTCCAGCTTGCATGGAGCGTGGAGGTTCGGTTTAAGGTCAAGGCGCAGGACCGCAGGAACGACCAGGACTTTGCATGTTCTTCGACACACCTTGGTTATCCAAAAACTGTCTGTTTCCTATCCGTTAATCCGTTGGAACGCCGAACGATCGGGGCTTTCCCTCTATGGCCATGTTTGTGCTTTTCGAAGCTCGGCACCCGGCACTCTGCAACAAGGGGTTGCCGCCTGGACTGAATATCTCTTGCTTGCCCTTGTTCCTAGCAATCAACTTGCTGGTTGGCTTCGGGGGGGGCGGGTCCAGGCGTATTCCGTGAACACTTGGTCCCAACATGCTTCAATTGTGGTTTGAGTATAATCCACCTTGGCTCCCTCATTCACACTGTGCTTCGCTTCAGTTCGCTTCCTTTCCCTGGGGATTTTCCAGTGGCAAGAGCAACACGCCCATGTGTCGCCAACCGCGATATCTTCGACCCCGGAACCAGGCCCCTGCCTGCGCCATAACACGCCTGATACTCCATGGCTCAGCCTGAATCAAATCTCACCCGGGGCGCCTGGCTGGTGCTGAGGGAGTTATGATGTTTCCCAAAACCCGGCCCTGACTCAATGTGGGCCGATTGAACTTACCTCCCTGCTGAGCACTAGCCAGAAGGAGGAGATCAAAGGAATCAAAGACTGTTGAAAAGTTCGAAAGGATGTTCTTCCAAACCGTGACTCATCGACTTGTCAGTTGGGAAAGCAACCTCCTCCTTTCCGCACCCGGCCGGAATTGCGTGCACGATTCGCGGATCTGCGGATCTCACACTTCACCCGTTCTTCACGAACTGGACTTGTGGAGCATTCCCTGTGGTGCCTCCAAACTAACTCTCTCTATATAATAGGACTGGGCCAGAAGTCAAGGTTGTCGGTCATTGTCAAATCAAGCCAAGAGCAACGCCCCAAACCCAGCCATAGGTCAGCTTGAAAGGGCTGTCCTTGTTGATTCAATCCCAACGATGTACAGTGGGTTTGGCGCGTCGCTCGAATGTGCATGAGCGGTTCCAAAGGTTTCGTGGTATGAAGTTCGTTCAAATGCAATGTGCGTCTCAAGAAACCTGGCTCATTCGAGTGACATCCTCCAAGACATGTTCTAAATGGTAGTTAGTCTGGTGTAAACTTCTCCCCCGAAACCTTCGGGACCCTAACGGAACCATGACACCAAGCACAGACAGAGTCAGCGTCTTTTCGACAAAACCGCCTCACATAAATATGCGGAAATTATGGGGAGCCCGTACTTGAATTATTATGATTGTGGCATGAGGCATGGCGAGAGGTAATCTGATTGTCGAAAAGAGTTGGACATCGCCCTTTTCCTGTGGCGAATCTTTCGCGCGCGCATGGATCATTAGCGCAAATCTGCATCGAAGGCTCAGTTTAGCCCTCAATGGTGTCCGTTAACCTGGGACGAAGCGCAGCAACGTCCCTTGTACAATCTACAGGGGTGTTACTGCCCAGTGCACGACATGGAAAACCGACTACAAATATACCTGTTGTTGACTGATGGACAGGGAAAACACTCAAAACAAAAAAAACAAAAAAAACTCAAGACGAGCGGGTGCTTAGGCCTGGAATGCCCACGAATTAGCCCGAGATCCGGCTCGGGTTCGGGGGGGAGTCCTCACAAATGATTTACGTGGTGAGTGTATACCCCCTGCTGGCAACTATCCAATCCTTACAGTAAATCTGATCTTGTTGGCCCAACCTGACAATACTCGACACGCCTGCCAGGAAGCGTGCAGGGAGCAAACTACCACACAGCGTTGCAAGGCTTCACTCGGCCAACAGAGAAAACACAAGCTGACAGAGGCATGACAATTGACACCTGCGGGATTCAAACCCGCGCAGCTAGCACTAGTGAAGCTTACAACCACCCCCCTAGGCCACTCGGGCGAGGTGTCCTTGCAGAAGGAAGGAACAGGAAGGAACAGGAAGGAACAGGAAGGAACAGGAAGGAACAGGAAGGAACAGGAAGGAACAGGAAGGAACAGGAAGGAACAGGAAGGAACAGGAAGGAACAGGAAGGAACAGGAAGGAACAGGAAGGAACAGGAAGGACAAGCAAGCAAAAAATGGAAACATAATGGGAAAAGAAGAAGAAGAAAAACAAAACAAGCAAAAGAAAAGGAAAGGACACAACAGCCAACAGGCCAGCAGCCTAAGCAAGGTACCTCTCAACGTTCCCTGCCAAAAGGAAGGTCGCGCCAAATTCGCCCAAAAAGTGTAGAACAACACCCCCTGAAAAGGGAACCTGCGAATTAAGTTCGGCAACTGCAGGCAAACACTTCTGTCCCCTGAGCAAAAGGTTGATCACCTCTTGTAGGTTTAATTTAAAAACCCCAGTCGTTGCCCAAGAGTCCAAGGGGCCTTTGGGGTCACAACAAAATTACGTCCGTTAAAAAGTGGACTAACCCAACTCATAAGCATAGTCACATCCTGCTTGCTAAGTTGGTTGAACATCCCAGTGTGCCGTTCGTTCCAGTTTTCCGTTTTCGGGCCCCCTGCATCTCACCAAACTCCCGGAGCTTCACCGAGAAAGGGTGGGCCTCCCAGGTCCGGTAGCTTCAAGCGGCCCCTTTGGAGGTGACGGCGAACCGCCCAAAGCTTCCCCAATGGTTCCTACTACCACTATGCTGGGTAACAAGGCATTTTTGACTGGTTTTACATGGTTTCCCTAGTTACCTATAGTGGAAACTGGAAGCTCTGGGTCCTGCAAGAGAAGTCGTTAGGCTTTTAGCCAACACTGTCAAAATTACCGAGGTTACATGTGAAAAATGGTCACTCCCCCGTTCTTTGCGGACAACACTTGTAAGTCCCGCGTCCCTCCCAAAAGAACCCCAGACTACTGGAAATTCCGACCGTAATGGCGTGGCCGATCAGTTTTGCAGGGACAGGCTCGCGCGGTTCAGAGGCAAACAAACTGCCTTTGACAGGGGAACCAAACAACGCAGCACATCCATGTTTAAAACTAAGCGATGGCCAGTCTTCAGATGGCGTCAAAGGGCTAGCCAATGCGCCTCAAGCGCACCAAAAGTGACCCACCGATCCTGGTCAATTGGGAAACGACTCCCATTGTGGTTTCCATGAAGGGCATCCCGAGATGTATTCCCCAGACCCTTAAAAATCCCCCGAAAACCAGCAATCCTTCGACAAAAAACAAAAAAACCCTACTACAACCCTTACAACCCTCATACAACCAGGTATTGGTACCATCAAATAAGAAAGCCAAACAAATCCGCGTTTGGGTGTTGCAAAATCAACGGCCTTCCCACTTCCACCGGCTTCCCATGCGACCTCCATGGCGTTGGCCACGATGTCCACCACCTGCACCAAGCTTCGGACGCGAATTGTCCTGTTCCTATGCCTGTGGATTGGCCCTGAATTGGCCAACAGTGGTAACAAGTACCTACCTATCAAGGATAAATGGAGAATGTCATAAACTTTTTTTGAGTGAGAAGAATTCACCAACCTAGTTACATGCGCAACGAGCACGGGTGAGTACGGGGAGCGAAATTGGCTGACTGGGGGCATGTACAAAGCACTTGCGCCGACTCCAAAAGCCTTCTGTCCACTACCATTGTGAAATGGGTATGTATACGTCTTAACTTGAGTGTCCTTTGGGAGTTTATGTCCACCACCCTGTTGGGAGGGCATTCCCCAAGTCAAAATTCGGACCAAATCCACGCCAGGCACCAGCAAAGGATTCAACCTATCTTAATAGTTGATTTACAAACCCCAACTGGTGGCGTTTAGTCCATCTGTCTTTAAACTTTGTCGACCCCTCCACTTGACAGTAACGTGTCTGATCTCCCACGCCTTCAACTTGTGGCACCTCCGGACATTGTCCACGTTCTGTGTCGCAAGGCCTCAGCACAGTCTCCATTTTCCGGTTCCGGGACTTGGGAGAGTGGTTGAATCGACGTTGTATGTTTTTTTCAGGGTACCCTTTTGGGGGCGTAAAAGGGACAATGTCTTGGGGAAGAATCTCGAATTTAGGCACCCATATATGTTATTCGATTTTGGTTGCCCCAATCCTCGATTTAGACGTTCTGGCTCCCTGTTGAACGGCCGAAATGTCAAGTTGAGGGCTCAGTGTGTCTGTGTGTGTGTGTGACGTGCGAAGGCTCCAAAGGGCCAACAGAACCCGTGTTTACCCTGTGACAGGTGAATGAATGGTAAAGGGTCCCTGTGCTCTGCCAACTGTCAAGCTGGTGGGGAAAACCGGCAAATGGAGTGGCTCTAGCGGGACTCGGTTCAAAGCTTGGCCCTCGCTCGGAGAAAGCAATCAATTGCCTGAAAGAGGGCCTCTGCTAGGCCAAAATTGTCTGCCAGGGCCTTTAGGGTGAGCTAACGTCTGCTCTAGTCTGGACAAACGCTTTTACATCTCCCTCCGTCGAGTGTGCATAAACACCCGCGCGGGAGGTGGCTGGCCTCCCTTAGAGCACGGATCCATATTTATAGGTAAACATATTTTGCATCTCGCCGGTTTGATAGTACAGCGGACCTTCTGAGACACAATGATTTCCTATTCTAAACCACAAATTTCTGGGATGCCTTGTGCGTGCCTAAAAACATTGTTTGAAGTTGCATGTGATTTATTTCCTTAGATTTGATTTTAACGGGGCACTAGATTTATAAATTGAATTGCACCAGCATAGACCCCAAATAGCAGTGCTTGCACATCAGCACCTCCAAAAGCACCCCCCGAAGAACGCCCCAAGCAAAACTCGGCCGTCAATCGAGCAAAAATGCGCCCGCACCATCACCCTGAAGAGCACCCCAAAAAGCACCTCCCAAGACACCCAGCCGTCAATCCTGCGAAAATCAACCCGCACCCCAAATAGAATCCCAAACCACCACCTAAGCTGCATGCCCCACTTGCACCCCACCGTCAAGATGCAAACATGCGCCTGCACCCTCACCTGCATGCCCGACAGCACCCAAGCGTCAATATCGCAAAATGATCGTGGCAAGCCTCTTGTGCTAGTTGATGCAGTGTTGGCTACGCTGCGCCGGGGCTACAGTTCTAGATGTTGTTTGTGGGTCCATTTGTGTGAAGTGTCATGAGTAGCACGTGGATTTACAACTCCACGTCTGGATTCAGCTCCGTCAGCGATCCATGTGCAAAACTCCAAGATGTCGCATTTGCTCAGACCTTCCTTGAAGTGTTCATGCAATTCAGCGGGTCATCTTTCTTTCCAGCTTTTAGAATGAATAGTCATTGCATAAACTGAGAAATAGCTCCTACGTTTAGCTGGATAGGCAGCTCCGCAGTGACCAGTATCTTCTGCCAGAAATGACGTCACAAAAGTTCAACTGCACTCATGCAGCTTAAGTTCTTTGGCTAGCACCAGAAATCGATACCTCGCTTGCTCAGAAATCAGAAAGACTTCTGATTTAGTGACTCAGCTTTCTTTAAAGCAGCCAAGCCCAGTTGAACTGAATGAGTCGCTAGCGGTAGTTTGTTGCCTGCGCGCTTGCATGAGCACCTCCATAACGCCAACCATCTGCTGCCAATGACGAGCATTTTATCCTCGAGTATGGGACGCTGTGGAAGCTTGTTCTGTTGTTTAGGCAAATCTGTGGTTTCTACGTACCAACAACTATGTTCATCTAGTGCAAAGCATTTCTGCCCTCCCTTGGTTTCTTGTTGTTCTATAAACATAAGGTTTTTTAGGCAGAGCATCAGAGATCTACTTATCATGAATTGTGTTGATGACGTATGAGGGTGCAAGTGGGACAAGTTATTGATCCGCTTCTTTTGTCCGGGGCCAGGTGCAATCTATTGTTGAAAGCTTGCCCTCGCGAAGGTGCACCGCTGCCATTCGGCAAACGGACACATCCAAACATAAATCGAGGACACCCAGATTGGTAACTGGCTACAGGCCGAAAAACGTCTGAAGAGCATCCGCAGAAGATTGAAACATTGCATTGCATAAAATCGGTGCCAGCTGATTGCAGAGAGGGATTGGGTAGGGCTGTGCAAGCAGAGTACGGAAAACCCCGTTTTCGCTGCCTTCCAGTTGCACGTGCCTGCTCCCAGTGCGGCTGCAAAAACCTTTCTTTCCATTGCACTGCTTCAGCCTTGGTGCCAGGTCGACGTTTACAAACATAAATCGAGTCCGTTTCCGCCAAGCTGTCTTGTATTGACAGAAGTCACAAAAGCCAGTGCACACGTCTCGTCGCTGCAGCAAATGTTTAATAGCTGGCGCCAACCACAGCCTTGAAGAATGAGGGTTCTCCAAAATAACCGCAATTCTTAAACGAAGACAAAGCCGGAAGACCTGCACAGAGAAACGCATGAGGGAGTTACCGGTATCAAGCTTTGCCCTGTCTTTCTCAGAAACATCCGGGTCCATGATGAAGTCCCCATCATCCCTGACTGGACCAGGCCCCCGTCCGTCCCATCGCCGTGCTCTGGACCAAGAGCTACAAGGGGTACCCAACCAAATGCAAGCCACATGGCCCTGACGGATAAGCTCAAGGACCTCCTGTCGCACCTTCTTTTTGCACAAGTCAAACTGCGGGCCATGCGCAATGCCGATCTCAAACCATGGAATGCGGCTCCCGGAGAAACGCCGGCACGCTTGCGACAACCGGCCACATCCCGAAAAAATCTCAAGCCCAACTCCGTGTTTGCAACAAATTTCACATGGCGGGCTGTGCGAAAATCTTTGAAATCCGCTGCTCTGCTGCGGTGGCCTCTGCTTGCTGTTGCGGGCTGAGTGACTGATACACCTGTGCGATCCGGCCGCCGTTGGAGTACCTCCGCACTGACTGCATGGTCCGCCACCGGCCCCGCTTCTGCACCTGCTCGAGCGTGCGAGTGCCATCCAGCACATCCGTGGAGGCCGACCCGTGCCTGATTTGATAGGCACAGTTGATCCCCTTTGGCACGTACCCCAGGCTTCGCAACACCACTGAAAAGGCTCGAGTCCCTTCCTCCATCTCGAACTTGAAGAGCCGTTCTTCCACGGGCCCTGCCCCTTGCGAGCTTCCCCAGATGCGGGCCCAACCACTGCAAGTACTCCTGATCCACCACCACCGCCTCGTCCGTCTCCCCGGTCTTTGACGGCGTGGCCACCTTCGTATCCTGACCCGGGTTGAGCACCACGATCCAGTGTCTGCTCATTCGATTGGGCGCGACCAGATGCCCCACCTGCAGCCGATGAACTTCTCCCGGACGGCCGCAAACGGCCCACACCGTGAACAGCCACATCGCCACCTCCTTGCATCCCAGGGACACCAACTCCTGGCCTGCCCGGCACAACATGCTCCACGGCAGCGGGGCTCGTCCCTTCGGCGGATCCAGCCTCCGGAATCCCCGAAGTGCCATGGCCGCCCTGGTCAGCTGGCTGACTTTCGCAACCTCCGCCCTCACAAACCGCACCGCCGCTAGGAGAGTCTGACTCGCTGACAGGTCCTCGCCCTCCCAAAACATGTAGTCCAGGTATTGGGCCAGAGTCGAATCCAGCTTTGCCAGAGTGGCGAGGCTCATCCCCTGCTCCGACGCCCACATCACAAAACTGTCGTAGGCCGACAGGTAGGACTGCTCGCGGCTGTGGGACACCGATTGCTCCAGGAAAGTGACTGGCCCTGCGTTGTCCTCCGGCTCTCCATGCAGGCTCTTCCTCAGCTTCGCCCGCTTTGCCTTCATCGAGTCCTCGTTCCGGCACCCAGGCGAGTCCACTTCCTTCTCCGCCAATCCGCGCTTGGTGCGCACCAAAAGCCCCGTCTCTCCATGAGCGACCAGGACCCTTTTCACGGTCCGCTGCAGCATTGAGATCACGCACAATCTGCCTGGGGTCGAAAGGACCGAGGGGCTTGCCTCTAGAAGGCCCGTCCGCGGGGTTGAGCTCCGAAGGCATCCATCGAACACTGATGTTCATGCCAGTTGCCAAGGTAACCGCCCCCAACTGCCGACAAACCCTGTTCATAGTTTTTGCCCTAGATCCCCTTTGCCCAGGAAAGCGTTGCTGTCAAACTGCCACCAAGCACCAGATGCCGCTTCCCGTGAGCATGTTGAGACCGCGCTAAATGCTGAAAAAGCCAAACGAGGGCTCTGCCCTCAAGAATCGGAATTGCTTCGGACCTGTTCCACTTGGCCGACTCAACCCTCCTCCAAGGCCCCTCCAGCATTTCCAGCGGCACGTCAGGAACCTCACCCCCGGGCATCCCGGCCACTGCTTGCTTTGCTTCTTCCGGCTTACCGCTTTCGCCCAAGGGCCGGCTTGTCGCCTGCCAGGACGGGGTGTCCAATAATTGAACCCTCCTCCTCGACAGAGAACCTCCACCGATCGGAATACTCTCCAATTGCTTGAATATCAGAAGCTGCCCTGTCCGTCACAACAACTCCTCGCCCCCAAAAAGACGCATCAGTTGCGAATACCGAAGTGGCCCACTCAGCAGACAGGTCCCGAAACACAAGGGGAAGCAGCGATGACGCCCAGAATAGTTCTCGCTTTACCTCGAGCCACAAAACCACCTCCTTGTCATAGCACCGCCTGATGAAAACGTAGACCGCCTGAAAACAACTGAGAACCTCCCGCCGTAGAAGAGCAGCAAAAGTGAAGTGCCCAATGAGTTTCTCGACCAACTTGCCGGACGCCCTTCCCTCCTTCAGCAGCTCTTGTGTTGCTAATCTCAACCTCCACAATCTCTTCGGGGTAATCTGCACAATTGGGAGCTTGTCGCCAAACTTCCACCCCAGGCACTCCAGCCCCACGCCAGCCTCGACCTCGTGAGTAGGAAGTCCCCTCTCTGAAAGCTTCTTCCCAACCTTGGCAGCCAATGAACACACTAGTCCGGGACTCTGCGAAAGTGCCACAAAGTTGTCAACGTACTCAGTGTGGATGAAGGGGCTCATTTTGGGAATCGGCGCACTGTCGACAAAACGTCCTGCCCGCCCAATGTCCTCCATCCCATCCACAATACGCTCGTGACATTGCTGACACACCCACAAAGCATGGGTCCACCCCATTGGCACAACTCTGAAGCAAGGGAAAACCATTGTGTCATCAGGACAGGGTCCCTCAACCGTCTCTGACACTCCCGCATCACGACAAACCAGCGGCGATAATGCAAAGAGATCACGCAGAGGTGCAGGAAGCTCGATGTTGTAAAAGGCGTCAGAGATGTCGACACCTCCCACCTCCAGCGGGCTTCCATCATCAACTTGAATCTTTGCAAAAGCGCTACCTGTAGCAAGGTGAACTTTCTTGGGTTTCCCAAGCCACTGGTTGGCCCGACGGGAGTCAACCACCAGACGTTGCCTACCGCTCTTCTTCCAAACAGTGAAAGCTCCGACTCGTTCCCTGCAACCACGCCGGAACTCAATCAGCCCAGCTTCAAACAATCTCCTCACAAAAGCCGCATAAACACGTTTATGGCTCTTAAGAAGCGGATCATAGTATCCCGAACCTCATCTTCGGGAAGAACTTTATTCACGACCACATCAGAAACATTCTCAGCTTCCCCTTTGAGGATTCTGTCCAGCGAAGCGGGGCAGCTGCCCTTCGGGGGAAGCGACACAAGGTCCAACTGAAATGGAGCCAGGCTTGCCGGGTCACCGGCATAGCCTGATTTGGCCCGAAGCTCGTTCAAGGCTTCCGAACCTGAAAAACACGGAGGCGGTTTGCCAACCCCCGTCACCGCATCTGAATTCTCTGAAGACACAAATGCTGGGCCAGAGTCACAGAATGGTTGTCCTCAAAACTGCCCCTGTGTTCCACCCCAGCGTACATACTGTTGAGGGTCACCACGATGTCTCTCACCCACTCCTGGACATGCTGTTTCATCTCCAGGCGGCGAGTGACACATCTGCTGATAGGCCGCGTGCGGCCCGGGCCAACCATCTCCTGAGGCAGGGGTAGAGGGAAAATTCCACGCTGCCGATCACTCCCATTGCCGTGTAAATCAAAACTGTCAGCCAGTCCACCTCCTTGCACATCCCCCCTGCCAGAAAAACCAGCGTCAGAGTCACCGCAAAAAGGCAAATCAGCTTCCGAGGGCAAGGCCTCCATTGAGCCCTGCCGAGATGCTCCTGTGTCGCTTCGAAGCCGCGGCCCGCTCCTCGCGGGCCTTCCTGACCTGTTTCATCACCGCGGCCTCCTTCTCAATCTCCTTGGACACATACTCCATGAGGTCAGGACTGACCATCACATCGCCAAACTCGCGATGCGACCCAGCGAAGATGTTGGCCTCCATTTTGTAAAGCCCCTCCTCGTCCTTCTTGTCCTTGCCCTGACCACGGCCGGTCGCCTTTCCACCTCCCGGGCCCCGGTCTGAATAGAAATACTCGATCAGCTGCAGCCTCCGGAATGCCAGTTCGATCCCGGCCAAGTTGGCCAAGTCCAAACCGTCAAAACGCCCCAAACGATCAATCATCTTCATCAACTGCTCATGCTCTGCAACTCCCCACGATTCCGGCTTCAAGGAATTGCTGGTAACCCACCACCTGTGATGATCGTTCGGGCCTCCATTCCGGCGATTGAGAAAACGCACACACCACGCGGCCGTACGAGGGCCTGGGACACCCCAGTCAGGAAATGCCTCCTCCGACATTTCCCGACTGACGTCCCGCCAGACCCTCTCCTCCCGGGCTGTTCCCTGAAAACCCAGCCCGAGCAATCGCGCGTCCCCCGCCGCCTCCTGACCCTTGTATTTGCCCAAGTCCTCCTCCTTGACTCGCTTGATTGCTCGCCACGCACCCTGCATATTCTTCAGACCGATCTCTCCGTGGATGACCTCAGACCCATCCAAGGCTACTGCATCGCCACGGGTTCCACCGCCCTCCGTTTCAATCAGTACCCAGGTGCGTCCATCTCCGTCACGGGGAGCATGTGCAGGCGCCTGCACTGCAACCACAGGGCCAACTGCCCCAGCCGGTGCCCCAGGGGGGAGGACCCCACCACTTACGCTACTGCACTTGCATCACATTCTCCCCATGCAGCATATGAAGCATCCCTGCGAGCCTTTACGCGCTCGACCCTGGCGCAGTATTTCAGATGCATCCGGGCCTTCCTAGCTTTCGTGCATTCTACAGCCTTGTCGGTAGGAGAAACTGGTGCACCTAGTAGACCTCCTGCATGCATGCAAAGGCTCGCATGACGAAGATCGCCAAAGCGTCCGCATCGCACCTCGCTCGATGCTCAAAGCTCTCTCCTTCCCCTCCCTCCCTCCCTCCCTCCCTCCCTCCAATGCAGCTGCAGCATGACCCGCGTCCAGCCTCATTTGCCCCGGCAAATTCCGAAAGCGATACGCGTTGGCCGCTTAAAAAACAAGCCGGAAGCCCCCCATCAAGACTTACCCTGAAGGTACTAAGGTCACTATTTTCCAAAGAGATCTGCTCAGGGTAAACGTCCATGTCAGGGGTCAGCACGATGTACCATCCTCGTCCGCAAGGGCAGCTAGCCAACACAATCCGTTCATGGCATAGATCATGCGGAGCCACGTCATACAGCAAGAAAACCCTAGCGTCCACCGGCAGCGACATCTAAAACCCTCAAGGCCTTTCGACTTCGAATCAGCCGCAGTTGCTCCTGTGCCTTGCTTTGTAAATCCTCCACCGCCGGGCTGTCACCACTGCCTTCTTCAGTGATCTCTGCTTCGCTCCACTTCACCCAAGCAGACTTGGCCAATGACACTGACTTCTCAAATGCCCTTCGCCCAACATTGAAGAGAGAGCCAGCCAGAGCCCACAATGCCCCCTTTAACAGCTCCCAAAAGAAGCTGTGGCCCGGGCACACTATGGGTTCTAGCTGGCACGTGCAGTTGCAAACACAGCTGTGATCCCAACGTGTCTGCTCAGCCTGCCAGGCGGCCAACCATGTGAAGCAAAGGGCTAACCACCGGAGCATCTAAAAGCTTGAGCATGAGGGCCGCGGCCCCTTTCAAAAATGCTCCAAGTCCCTGTGAACAGAATTATGTCCTATCTTCTCGCATATCAGCTATTGCGTGCCACCAGTTTGCGTAGGATGTGAAGGACCCATCCCTGATGATGTAGAACTTGATGTTGCCCACTTGCGAACGGGCTGCCTCGCGTCTAATGTTCCTTGATCTACTGGCAATATGACTAGGGATCTGTAGTGACTCCAGTGGGAAGAATCCTCTCATTTCCAGTTTTCCAGATCCCACATGAGCTACTAGCAATCCATGGCCAAGGGAAACGTTCAATCCCCAAGCTCAAATGGCAGGTGGCGCCTTCATTCCACCAACCCCTTGTGAGCTGCAGGCACGCAAAGTGCAAATGCAAGAAAACAAACAAAACTAAAACCACGGTAAAACCACCCACAGAGCGTTCCGCCCTCGCTTTGAGAGGGTCAATCGGATCCGAGGTCTCGGCTCTGCAGCGCAGAGGCGCCGAAGGCCTGCACGTTGGCCGCCTTGGGGTTGGCCTGCATCGCCTTCGGGTTGGCGCGGCTCGGAGGAACCCATGGGTCGATTTGGTCGATTTCCGCGTGTTTTGTGCTTGTGGCTTGGGTTAAACCAATGAAACCCACGGGTCTATATAAGTTTGAGCCAGACTTCGGATTTGGCTTGAGGGTAGGAAGGTGGATGAGCTGCGGGCTCCATCCAGGGTGCGGGTAAACCCCCTTGAAAATTAAACATGGTTTAGCTTTGACTTTGGACCACTATTGGACCTTTACTGCTCAAACAAGCTCCTTTAGGTTTGCTGCTTATTCAAATTAACCCACGCTATAGTTCGATCAAAGCTTGAGATAAGAAGGATACGGCTACGTAGTATGGCAAATGCGGAAGGCTTTTACTTACCTTGAACCGAACTCCGTGTCTACACACAGTCACTAATGACTACCAGTCAAAAAAGTTGCTATGAGCTCCATTGTCTTCAGGGCTCAAACCACACTGCTTTGCCGATGATCCATGCGTTTGGGTGCGTTTGTTTTGGTTCTAACGGTTGCGTGTACCATGTCTGTCGTTCAGGGACACTTATCTGCTGCCTGTTTCTCCAAAGTGACATGCAGTTGAGTGAGAAATAGTGCTGAATGTAGCTTTGCTACGGTTCTGCAACCAACGCACACACAAGTCCTCAACATCCAAGAATAATATGTCATGTTGGTGATGGTCACTAACATCGATTCACCGCAAGTCTGCAACAAGTGTTTAAGCTATATCACTTTCTTCAGTGCATGGAATCATAGAAGCGATTGACAAAAAGGCACCTCGTTGCAGGCCAGAACACTCGACTGCCCTTGAAAGGATACACAAGGGCCGCAGGCTGTGCTTGACCCAGTGCCAACATCCCCTCGGCTGCTACATCTCTGCAAATGATTCAACGTGTCGGCCGAATCTGTTTAACTGTCCAGCAAACGGGTCTCTTTCAAAAGGAGATTGCTGTATAAACGGTCTTTTGGTGCCCCTGTTAGTCGCAGGAGTGTAAATAGTAGCTTTCGGAACAAACAAGCACGGGAAGCTCAGCTGGACCCTTCCAGCACCATGACAAAACTGGGCTGGACCTCTACTCTGCAGGGTGTATCCTTGACAAAGGCAACCACATAAGACGCTTCTTCAGCCAGCCTCCACAATGGCTTCCACGCCGCCCATCTCTCCAATCCTGGACTTGCGGGGAGCAGCGCTTGAGTTGCGCACCTGCCCACAAGACCTGGAAATAAAAGCCCGACCCTTTGGGACCTTGGTTAATGGCCTTGTGGACAACTGAGGCTTGATATGTAAACAGCGAGAAACCAGCCACGGAGACACAAGTCAGTCACAAGAAACCTCTTGAAACGCATGGCCGCGAATCCTTGGGCGCAGGGTTCCGCTGTCCAAACATCATCCCACCGAAACGCCAGGTGAACCCAAACCAACCTGGCCTCCCAGACTTGGAACACAACATCCACGGTTTAGGGCTTCGGCTTGGCCAATGAAGTCACGGACGCGAATTCAAACTTAAGTCTGCCTTGGCAATGCGAGCCCACTCCGTAAAGTTGTTTTCCTGGGCGGTGCTATATTGCAGGGTTGGTCTGGCAAAGAATAGCTTGTTGTAGGCTTCTCACCTCGCGGCAATAGTGGCGAAGCAAAACAAACAAATCTGGTAGAGCTGGTGAAAATCATGCACCGGAAAGCAGTGTATTTCCGAGAAGCGGCACTAACAGCACCTACACAATGGGTGAAGTTATCAATTCACATTTCCCCAAGTGAGGTCGCTGCATCTCACACGGTTGCACGATACATCATACCACTGACCCCAGATGCCAGATACTTGCAAAAGCTCACATGTATGTATACGACACTCGCACCGCATGGAACAGTTTGGTTTGGGCCGGCTCAATTACAACGCAACCAACGACTAACTTTGGCGGACTCGCACGGAGGTAAGCTGCCCAATTGCTATCTTGAAGGGCAAGGTATTTCGTGCATTGACAGTATGCAAGTGTGCAATTGATCCAATCCAAGCATTCGGCACAGGATGACTTCTAATTTCGACTAGGACACGTTATGGGCAGGAAGTTGTGCGAGACATATGCCAAGGTAGTGAGAGGCTCAATGAAGCATGAGGCTGCTGCGTCGCCAAAGGGCGGATCCAGGAGCAGGCCCAATCGATCAAACAACCAGAAATCTTTCGCACCCCACACAAAGAGGCAAGCGACTAAGCAACTTGATGATTGATTGATAAGGCATTGAAAAGAGCTCAACCTACTGTTCATCCTTGCAACTCTTCTCCCAGTCACTGTAAATCACATTAAATCCCAGACTGAATAATATTGTTGACCAGCGTGTGCCTCATTGGAGTTCGAACCCTTTCAGCACAGACTGCAAAGTGTGCAGCCCACGGCCAGGGTGATCAAGCATATGGGCGGTGCGTGCCTTGATCCTAGGTGCCGCCTTTCTAAAGGGGATACCAACAAGTGCCTCTAATTTTGACAACCCCCACATGTCATCATACCATGAACGCCATGCGCCCTGTCTTCAACCAACAATACGCTGCATCCGCGGCGTGCGGCGGACTTACACGCAATGAATAAACCACAACCGAAACCGCACACTGCAAAGCAGGTGGGGGATGAGCAAAGGTCAATGTTCTTTGTCCCCCAATGATGTTGGAATTTGGTGAGTAACCCCAATTGAGTGCCTGTTTCAATGACGGTGAGCGCGCCCAACGTTTCAATCCCTTACAGTGGCCAGAAGTAAAAATGGTCGTTCGCTCTATTTGTGATGGAATCTCAGTGTGCCACAGTTGCGAAGCCGGTCCGCTATACTGCCACCCGGCCCGTCCTCACACGCATCTCAGGGCTATCGCATGCCACACCTGCAAAAACGCATTTCCGCCAGGGGGGCAATAAGGGCACTGTTGGTGCCACATGAGGCCTTAGCCAAATAAGTTCTTCTTTGACTCCTTTTGCAAGCGCCCTCACAGCCCTTGGATCCTCGGGCAGAAATTGCTGGCCTTACTTGCAATGCAATACGTAGGTTTCCGCTTTAGCATGTGCACAAACTGATCGAATCCCACAGCCAAAGGCTGCCCGAGCTTGCCATCAAGTGCGGAGCCGGATATGATCTCGTGATGTGTTCAAGGTGCCCAAAACTGGACTTGCACTCTGCAGGCACCTGGAAGCTCAATTGCAAACAAGACTTGGGTCAATGAAACCGAGTTGGAACCCCGTTGGTGGATGGTTCTAAACCGGCACCCCAACATGACAACTCAGGAAGGTACCTGGAAAGTCAATATCCTCTTGGCAAATACGAAACGAAGGTATTCGTGCACCTACCTGAGACAAACCCGGTGGAACCACGTTGGCAGCACCAAAGCATATGCTGACTGTTTAAGCTTCCAGTGTCCAATAATCCAATTGTATATGATATGACGGTCCCTGCAATGCAAACAAAGAAAGACCTGGATAACACTTTAGAGGTTGTGTTTTACATAACAGAAAATTCGATCTAGATATGTGTTTGGACGTGAAACAACATATATACATACATATACACATATAGTACCTAGGTAAATGTATATATATATATACACTAGGTAGATAGTGTATACACTGGGAAAGACTGTGTACTCATATATATATATACAATCTAGGTAAGTGTATATGTGCTTGAACGTGTCACCTGCTGGAATCCACCATCGTTCAATGAATAAATCGAAATAACTTTGGGCATGGGGAATGCTGTGATACAACGAGGTGTTTGCTGCACTGCAGAATGTCCCAAGTCTGAGCGAGCGCATCTCTTCAAACGGAAGGCAACACCAATGTCGCTTCAATTTTTGGATAAACGTAAACGATGCACACAACATCTTGCTTTGGCTGAAAGCTTAGCTCAAAAAGGGGCGACAAAATGAATCACAACAGAACCAGGCCTTCAAAGCCATGCTGCTTTCACCTAAGCCAACCCCTTCCGTCCAAAGGCGTCCCGGCTTTGCAGCAAGGCGCAGCCAAAGGCCTAGCGCGAGGCGGCGGGCGAGCAAGTCAGCCGCGCCACCGCGCCAAGCTAAGCTAAGCAAATCGGCGAGCTCGCTCTAACCCGCAGATGAGGTCGCCATAGTCTGGGTATTGTTTGTGCATGCCGCTTCTGCACGCACCAGGACTCCCACCCCCCTATTAATAAATACGGGTCCCCCCCCCCATTATTAAAAAATCCTCCCAAATATGTTTTAACAAACAAAATGTGGTTTTTGGGGTTGTTCTTTGTTTTTCCAACAATGTGAGGGTTCACATAGGATTTGGAGGAAATGGATTGAATTGTAAGGTCCGCGAGTAAGCGGTTTAATAAGGAAATGTTATGTATCATTCTGTTTGTTTTTCAGTTTACTGGTTGTTTGCTTGCAGCCAGGCAGGTTAGGTAATTAATTAGCCAGCATGTACGGGAGATAGTCGCAGCTAGACAGCTTTTGGGGACATGTTTTCTTTTGAGGGACACCCCAATAATTAAAGGACCCAAAAAAACACTTTTGGGGTGCAGCCAGGCAGGTCAGGTTGCCAGCATGTGCGATTGACTGCTAGACAGTCCAGTGCTCGAGAAGGCAGTGTGGGTTTCAAGACAGCCAGACATGCATTCAGTGATAGGAAGGCAGCCAGTAGTCAGCAGGGCACAGTTAGGCAGAAAACTCAGACCAGACAGCATTTTTCTGATCTGGGCGGCAGCAATGGCTGGACATGGTCAAGGCAGCCAGACTGACAACCAGAATAGACACACCGAGCAGTCATTGCAGAGCTTCGTGCAGTCCTTGGGCCCCAGCCAGATAGCCATCTTGCGCCAGATGTTGGAGAACAGCCGGGACAGGGGGAAGGGGTAGATGCAG